TTCCAAAAATAGCGCAACTCAAAAAACATAGGTAACATATTTGCGATCGAAAGCGTTTATTACAGTTAAATTAGGATCAAATAGTGGTAATCTAACGATTTTTTTCCACAGTAGACAATTATTTTCAATACTATTTTTTTATACATATACTTACTACAACAACAAGAAAGTTAAAACACATCAAAAACTTTAACGCCAATATCTCAGAAATCAGTTTTAACAGAAGCGTCCTTATTGCATCTAACTCCTCAATTATTGGAGATAAAACAAAGACAAGTTGAGTTTCCTGTGTATTTGTTTTTTGTTTTAATATTTTAAACAGACTTTCAATAAAAAGCGAACATTCTTTTTGCTAATTTTTACATTTGTAAGCTATTTGATTATGGGCTACTACCACACACGTATACAAGTACTAGGTGGCCGTGTGAAAATTTCGTTAGGACTCCTTAGTGGTGGTTAAACCCCAGGAAGATTTTGCTTCCTCGCATCCATGCTTCGATTTTAGCTGGAGCGGAGCTGGAGCAAAGAGCTAAACAAAATAATTGCTCTTTAGCTCCTTAGAAAAAATTTTCAATACTTTGTTTTTGTTATTTTCTGGCCTAGTAACGATTTATTTTGAAATATTTTTATTGGTGTTTTTCCAAAAAAGTTTTCAGTAATAACGGCCTCAAGCTCAATAAAAAATAAAAAAAAGTTCAGTTAATAAATTTACTTAAATTACAAAAAGTCGCCTACGGTTTTGGCGGTTAGGGCTCGATATGTAAATAAATAAATAAAAAAGTTTTTTGATGGGGAGCGGGAGTGACGCAAGAGCGGAGAACCTTTGCTCCGAAGCCCTGCTCGCATCGCAATGTTTTCTACACACGGTTAAGGTTCCCCCTTTGTTGTAAAAATTAGTATTATTTTTCATTACATTCGGTTCTCCTCGGAAAAATTTGGCGCTTAATATTTTAGTGGAAATTTTAACCATCTATAAGTCATTTTTTTTAAACAGTGGGTCAAAAGAGCCCGTTCTGGTTCGAGTTGATGGGTTAAACTTTTGGAAAAAAGTAGATCAACCTTGTTTTTAATATTTAATCCGCCAAAAATCGTAAGAACTCCGTAACTTAAGATAACGGTTGATAAGATTATTGTTTTTATTTTATTTTTTTCTTTAAATTTAAATATTACATACGGATCTGTAGAGAACATAGAGAGCCATGTGAGTATGTATGTATATACCTCAGACCTTCTTCTGTTCGCCATTAGCGCCAGACACTCAACATTTTAATTCAAGTAGGGATTAACGTATTTTAAATTGAAAACTAATTCAATGAATGAATTAAATAGAATTATAATCTGAATTGGAATGGCGAGTGCCTAATGTTGACGATATGACATGATAAGATTAGTAGCCTTATGGCTCTTTGGAATCTACCTTATGGGCAGTAACGCCGGCGTATGCAGACGCGCCGGCGTCGCCGCCGCCGCCGATTCTTTTTGAAGTTGACCACGCCGCCGCCGCAAAGCCTGTCGGCGTAAACCTCTATTCCGTACACATTTGTGCTTTTGTATTTTTTTTTTATTTTTTTATCTGAAATGTGCATTTTTATGATTAATGATGTGTTTGATGGCGCAAGCAGCAGTTTTTATTTTAAATATATGTATCTTAAATATTATTTACCTAGTAACGTTAAAAGAGACTGTTAGTCTGCCAAAGTAATGGTTCTACCGTCCGTCTGCCCGACCGTGCTTCCTTCTGTTTATAGATATACTCGTATATTCATGCAACTCTGCTAAGAGTCTAAATTAATTCATCTGGGATTCGTGCTGTGCCACCGCTCAAGGTGTTTTAATTTTCGATGCTATTTTCCCAAGCCGCATTCTTCTTTGACTATGTGCCGTTTCGTCGTTTCTTGCCCGTTGCAAACGGTAGCCACTACTGGGCGTTATATCCGTGCATATTTACTTTTTAGATATGACCATGTATGTAGTTAAAGTACAATAGCACTGTATTCCCACAACGATTTTCATAGTAAACAAAAACAATTTGGATTTTTGTTTTCTTTCCTTGATTTGGTGCAGAAATGAATTTTTACACAAGTTAAATATTTTATACAAATATGCATTATTTTGTTATCAAAATACTGACTGTAGCACTGCCAGAGGTGTTTTACAACATCAATTTTACTATAAAATTGATCGCTCTCTTGGGCATAAATTCGTTGCTCTGCTCAGCCTTTTTGCTCCCTCCAAGCACGTAATCATCTTCCAGCTCTGTCAATCAAAATATTTACATGTTTGCATTTACATTCATTTTTGTGTGTCTTGACTCCTTTTTAGATTTCCTTTAATTGTTTATTTTGTTAAAGGCCAAATATTAAATGAGCAATTCAAGTGATTTCCAAGAAGGGTTCTTCTTGATGAAATGTACGTTTGTGCTTTTAACAAAATACGTAAGTCTTTCGTAGCCTGAAGTGTGCGATCGACGGTATATTTTGTGCAAGATTTACCTACATAATTTTTGCTTAAACCGTTTATTTATATAATACATTCTTGAATATTGTGGAATGCGGTGATGTGACATTGTTAACCTCATAGCATACCAACAAGAACATATTGTACCTTTGCTGCAAAAGTGTCATAATGTAAAAGAAAAAAATAGCTTTAAAATTTACAGTTTACAAACACACATTTGCTTCTAATTAAATCAAATATTATTATTTTTTATTATGAGTCATAATTTATGACCCTCTTGCAACAAACATGCGATATATATACAGTCAGCGTCAAAAATATGTATACCCGACGTTTTCACGATTTTATTTAAGTATTTACACTGAAGAGCAAAACCGGAACAGTAATACATAATGTGAATTTTCTTGCAATATATTCGCAATATATGAAGACTTTTTTGTAATCTAGTTTCGGAATTCACATTTCCAATGTTTATTTCATCAGAAGGCCATAAAAACAATAATTAATGCAAGCAGATAAAGAAGAAAATTGCAAAAAAAAACGTAGCAACTAGATTGTTCCAGTTTTGCACCCGACAGAATATTTTACCATTTGCTTGACTTTTAATAANAGAAAATTTTACCATTTGCTTGACTTTTAATAACTTGGCCATAACCAATTTGAATATTTTAGCTTTTATGGTCATCTTGGGATACTTTCGCACAGGTTTTAGACGAAATCTCTTGAGAACGCGCACCGGTTTTCCTCAACGCCATGCCCAAGGTCTTGCATGCGATTGGGTGAATTTTCGCAATTGAACAGTGGCATTTTCAAACAATTCCATAAGTTTTCTGTTGAATAAATTCAGGGCTTTACGCAGGTCACTCCATGATTATAAAAACTTAAGATTTATACCTATTTGGCCCCAGTTTCGGAGGATATTTTTGATCATTGTACTGTTAAAATTGCGAATTGCCTGCGAAAAATATCCTCAGAAGTTGCAAAATTCTTTGAAAATGCTCATTTGTTGTCATTTTTCTTTTTACCATCGATTTTACCACAGTTCTTACTCCCTACGGCGTAATACGGCGNATGATTATAAAAACTTAAGATTTATACCTATTTGGCCCCAGTTTCGGAGGATATTTTTGATCATTGTACTGTTAAAATTGCGAATTGCCTGCGAAAAATATCCTCAGAAGTTGCAAAATTCTTTGAAAATGCTCATTTGTTGTCATTTTTCTTTTTACCATCGATTTTACCACAGTTCTTACTCCCTAAGGCGTAATACGGCCCTACATCATTAAATGTACACGTACAAACCTAATAGTTTAAATATTTTGGGACGTTAGGCGTATCCCTGATGCAGGTACACATCACTTGAACTAATATTCCGACTTAAAGTGTTTAATTTTATCCTCAGAGTTAACAAATTTTGGGCCGTGCCCTAATTGATATTAAATTTTGGTGGAATAATGTGGTCGTTTATAAAGAACTTGTAAATTCCCGCTTCAAAATAATACTAATCCAATGTTTTTTCTTAGTAAAAATGCGTTTCTGAAAAAAAAAAAAATTTCTGGATGTCAAAGCAGGCTCTCTCCTCTTTATCTTTGTGCTGCAATAACTTGTTCCCATGTCTTACATAATGTCCAGTCACTTGCTTTGTGTTGATAAAACAGTAATTTTTGATTTGGAACCAAAGTTTATTGGCATTTAGAGACCCTCCAATATGCCTAGCCTGGCAAATTGCAATTTTTTGTGGTCTCTCGATCTTGCAGACTGAGGTCCGCCCTTTTATCGCTTGTTTAGATAACCATAAAACGGAAATTTGGCCGATATGATTTCTTTCTTTACAGCGTGGCATTTCTGAACGTTTTGCAAAAATAGCAACTAAAAACTTGCACTTTATTAATCTAAAATTTGACAACAACAAATCTGCATACTAAGAAATCGGTTTGAAAATGTATCAAGAAGTGCGCAAAAATTCCAATTTCCAACTTGCACTTCTGCGTGACAAACCATTAATTTTGCCATTTTCAAGTATCTCTCGGAGACAGAACGCAGTACGGCGTAGCTCAACCCATTACCTCAGAAAAATTTGTTTATTTCTACTTATGCAGCAACTAACTTAAAATTGATGCATAATCACCTAGCAGCCTTATTGAGATAAATCAAATGCTTGCACTTTTGATAGAGTCGGATAATTGAGTGATGCCTAGGACATTGCCCTGTTAAAGCCAACAGTTCGTTCCAGGGAAGAAAATGAGATGTTCAACTAGTTGTGGGGGGTAAAAAACTAGTTGATCATCGACATTTAAACTGGTTTCTTTCCGTACTGGGAAGATATTTTGTATTTCTAGATTAAAGGTGGTACTTAAATAAGTATCCAATCCTTTTTTTTTTATACATAAATACATTTTTGTAGGTTATAATTTTCAGAGTTTTTTTGATTCAGTATTCGGCTGCAATTCGATGTGGCTTGTATAAAAACTCTGAAGTCGTTGCTCCTTTATTATTTACATACATACTAACTGATACTAAAATTTTTCTTTTCTGCTTTTCAGGTGAGTTTATCCGTTTGCCTCTGGACGAAATTCTTAACGACGTATTACAATTGGCTGAATTCGGAAACGAAAATAACGAAGTGAGTTTAATAGTTAAGTGAAGTGAAAAAGTTCGTAAATAATTTAAATAGTAAACAATCAATGTTTAAGAATGTTCCAAAGGTTATACAGTGAAAAAAAAAACTTCTCTTAGGTATGTCTTTATCGGCTTCTATATTTTCAAAAATTCATTAACTCAAAAATCAACTGTTTTTAGAAGCAAGCTATTCGAAGAAAAGTGAAATCCGCACAGCAAACATTTGTCATGCCGAAGTAATACGGTCAGTAACTATCCAACTACCTCGGGAAACCAAGTAATTTGGTCCTCTGCACTGAAATGTACCGTCTATTGTATAGCTTTTTCTTTAATATGTTTTAAACTAGGGTTGTCGGGAAAACCGAATCAAAAGATCGATATTTTCGATGCATCGAAATTCTTCTAATAAGTAGATGCATAAATGGTCGATGCATCGATACATCGTAAATCAGCTGCGAAAAAATGGCAATTAGCTCCACAAACTTCTATTCCTACAAATGTTTCGTAAGGTTGCATGTTTTACGCGAAAAATTACGATTATAATAAAACTGCTGGATCGTAGTATTAATATAATGCTTAATCCGAATTTGCCATAAAATTTATAGTTTGACAGTTGACATTGACAGCTGCCAATTCCTCTAAAAATAAGAAAAACTTTTTGAAAATACCGCGGGTTTGGTTTTAGGCACGCTAGTCACGAATTTTATGTCAAATTAAAACTTTGAAAGTTGGCAGCTGTCAGATGGACTGTAGATTTTTTTAAAAATAAGATTTTTTTAAATGCTACTGATAAGGGATCCAGACACGCTAGTCAAGAATTTTACGTTAAAACCTTGAGAGTTGACAGCTTTCGAGTAGGCTGTCAATTTCTCTAGAAATAAGGGAAATTTTCCAACCATTAAACGTGCTATGTGTTAAGGCTCACTGATCTCGAGTTCTATATCTCATTCAAACTTTTTCAGCTGACAACTGTCAAATTAAGTGTTATTTTCAGTTGAGTAATACAATATACTTGTTTAGCAAAATTAATAATTTATTGTATTCGAGAAAACATATTTAAAATGAATCAATGATGAAAATATGAAATAATGGCAGCAATTATATATATAAATGAGAGATAGTGGGGCCGTCTGCTATATGTTCAGCCCAAACATTTTTTTAAGATTTTTTTCTCTTATTCGAAATTCGTCCTTTCCAAAACTTGAGTTTTCTCATTTTTAAATAAAGTTATTCAGGTCTTTCTTCTACGATGTTTTGAGGACTTGGAGAAAAACGTGGATGTACTTTTGCCACTGACGTCCCTTTTTTAAACCTGCACGCTTTACGTATAAATTGAATAAGCTCGTCTCTCACTTAAGGTGTTCTTACACGATATGTTTTTGCATGTGTACATGCCGCTTTTTACATATGGAAATACCAACATATCGTGTAAAGGCAAATTAGATTTGTTTCTGTACAAAGCATATGCACGTACATACGAAATAGAAATGTTTCTATTTTCATCTGACACACAGATAAGAATCATCTTAGGTTACTTTATTTCGTTTTCAAAGATCGTATTTTTAAAAAGTTAAATAAAGACTGAATTTGACAGACATACGCAATTACATATGTATTGAAAAAGTCACATTTACAGATGCAAATACATATCGTGTAAGAACTCCTTTACACATGCACTTAATATCAGCAAAGACGTGGCAAATGCACAAAAAGTCTTCCACCGTGTCATGAATCTCAAGGCAGAACGAGTAAATAGGGTTGCCGTTTATTTAAATGAGAGTCGGGTATTTGAACCCAGAGATGTGACTGGTCTGCAAACCCATAAGATGACTATAAAAGTAAAGAAGCCTTTCCCATTATCTTCACTGTTATTAAGAGTAACACAAGATAATCTATGTATGTATATGCCAGTGTTTTATTTATATATATCAAGGGTGAAAACACCAAAACTGCGACACTTCGGGAAGCTTATAACTTACCCAAAAAGATTTCAATATTTTGAAATTCAAATACCATAAGTTGACCATGACCTTAGTTGGACGTACAACTGCTATTTTAATAAATACGCCCACTGTTTTAAAACATGGCACCGCCCCACAGTGTAACGTCCCCATATATGCTTCGGACAAAAATGGTAAATAAGGCCCAATTTCGATGAAATTTTGTATATGGTCTACTTTCACTTAGGAAAGACAATGTGTGATTTTGATTAGATTCGTCTTGTATATGTATTTCACCTGTAAACACATAAATCTAAAATATAGGGAAGATTGGTCCTCAGGCAAGCCCACCACCCACATTAAATGTGGTTTAACAAGTTAAATTTGGTCTGATTTCAATGAAATATGGTGCTAACCTTCATAATACGCGGAATTGCATTGAAATCAAATCAGTGCATACTTTCCACATCCTCATTGTTTAAGATATTATTATATGTAGTCTACTTCCGGACCCACAATACACACTTATGTTTGAGATGAAATGATTTATATACTATATATCTACTCTTTTCGAAGTAGTGTCATATTCAACCTTATTTCTAATATAAATATATTATTTCCAACGGTATAAAAAAAATAATAATAAAATAAGTTTGTCGAAAACAAGCGAACTTTTATTCAAGTAAAATATTATTTTTTTTAAATTCTTGAAGCAAATTTTTATATTAAAAAGAGGAAATTGTGAAAGCCACTTTCAGCCCCCTTTTAATTAGAGTATTTATGATCAGTCCTCAAAAAAATACTACTAAACTTACCACTATAATTTGTTACTATTTTTGGCCACACGCGTTGCACTGTGCGCCAGGTTCTTTTACATGTACTGTATTGAGGATCATTAATTTTTATTTGAAAATTTTTTAGAGTATTTTCTTGAGTACATTATTAGCTTTTTTCCAATCTTCCACTAAGAAACTTATAAAAATAAAGATTTTTGAAAAACAAGGCCAAAATTCTTATATGTATTTAAGTATTTGATAATTTAGTTTGTATTACATTTATATAGTTTCATTTCTTATTCGTCTCCTCCGTAGTCCAACAACGATTCCATCGCTTCAACATCGAAAGCAGCGGCTGCAAAGAATAATAAAACTAACAACGACAAACCCAAATCCGAAACTGGTGAAGAAGAGTTAATTGTTAGCAACAGCGCACGCGTAGACAACGACAAAGACGAGGATTTCGATAAGGACTCTTCTGCCAAAACTGACGGCACCAAGGTCAAAGAGCACAACAACGCCGAAGAAGAAGGTTACATTGACGATTTCGATCTATCGCTATCGGAGATCGAAGTCAATTCGTTGCCATCGCCACTTTTCGATTTAGATGACGAAGCACGTGAGGAACTAGCCGATTTCAATATAATGTTACAATCAGCTGCAGCAACACCATCGCCATTCCATCACCATCCACATCAACGTGGTGCCGGCATGCAGACTTATGTTGGCGGCGGAGCGAATAGTGCATTCCATCGTCAGGCGACCGGTTTCCATCATGGTCATCATCAGGTAAGTGGAAAAGGGGGAAAAGATGTGCACCAAAGATGGTCGCATGATATACATATGTAGTTAGTATGTTTCGACGAATAGCGCGCAGGTTGCGGGATAGAGGGTGAATTGAAGACGCATGTACAAACTTATATACATATGCATACTTGTACGTTTGTAGGAGTGTGTGTAGTTTTTTTTTCTCTGAGGAACTTGATGCAATCGACGTCAGCTAAAAAACGATTGGAGAGTATGTGCTGCATTATATTAATAAGACAATTGAAAGGTTAAAAAACATGTACAAAGAAACCAAAAGAACTGAAAAAAGAAACAAAATGAATTACATACAGAATTTTTCAGGTGCAAGTAAGGTTGGCGTTGGGTATTTTTTTTATTCCTTATACTCATTTTCTAAAGTATTTCAAGTGGTCTGCTTTTGATTAAATTACTTTTAGAGTGCTTTCACCATAAAAATCAAAAATTTTTCTCCGGCAATGAATTTTTGTGTTAAAAAAAATTAATTAATTAATTAATTTTCATTTTGGCGAAANTCAGAGAGCGCTGATCATTATTTAGGGGGTGCTCATAAGCATGAATATATTCCGCTCTCAAACCAAATCGATCAACTAAGATTTGGTAACTATGACTAATCCATGTGTTGAAAGAAAGCTTATCTGTATTAGCAGAGCTTAATGGCATCCTTTTATGAACCATACTTTAAGTTGAATGGAATTTGTAGAAATATGCTTCAAAAAAATATTTATTAGTATTTACCAAACCCTTCAACTAAATTAACGATTTGGTACAACCTAGATGAATATTAGAAGCTTTAATATATTTAGTTATAATTACCAACCCATGGTAATAGTTCCCAATCCTTGGTCACAGTTCCCAAATATTGTCAAAATTCGGGAACTAAATATCTTTAGTTGTCGAAACTAATCCTTTTTCTCAGTGTACTGTTTACCCTACATAAATACTGAGTTAACCTCTCAGTTAAAATCTACCTCTCACTTTTTCAATCAATACATTTGAAAGAAGTCAGTCTTTATAATCTTTTTGATTCGCTATTCGATTTCATTTTGATCCGAATGATAATTCATGTTTCTCAGTAAATGCGATGATGTAAGGGAAAACGATGTCAAATGAGTACCGGACAATAGATTACATACATTTTTTATTGTCTTCTCTTTGTCATTTCAAGTGCCGACAATTAGCGACGTTCTAGGCAGACATTTGACATGCAATTAAAATATGTTAACGTTTAACGCCGCGCAGGCGCATAAATTTGTTGTAAATGGGCGCCATTAAGCAGAGAAGCAACGCGGCGCGAAAACAACAGCATAATCAGCCAAAGCCAAAGAGTTACTGCCAGCCGAAGTTGCATATGAATTTCTAGTATTTCTAAGCGAAATTACTTTATCTCCATCTCAATCCCAATGACGAAAATATTTAGTAGCATATTTATTTGAATACGAAAAACAAGTCACTCAAGAACTTCGGCTACTTTTTTGGAAAGCGTGAATGCAACGTTAAGGAAACCATATGCAGCGCACCAATAGGAATGATCGCTGTGGTGAAACCACAACACGGAAAATGACAAATATGGTCATAAAGTCAGTAGCAATTACCGTAAAAACCACCGCTGCCGAATGGTTCGGTAACGCACATGCACTCACATACATACATATGTACAGGCATACTTAGCAACATAGACAAAAAGGAAAATTCGTTACAGCAACCTACTGTTACTTGGCACTACGGATTAAGACAGTTAAGACTTTGATGTTTGTGCGCAGGCTCGCAGCAGGTACACTTGTTCTAGGTGTGCGATGTGCATGCGCATCCCTGCAGAAAAAATTATCAACTGACAAAAAAAAACAACTTTAGTAGTAGCTTTTTTGCGGTATTTCGCTAAAATATATAACTTTAAGTTAACAACAACTAAGCTAACTTGAAACTGGTTGAAAACTATTGCAGGCGTCTTGCAGACGTGATTGGGATATTTTTTTTTCCTTTAAACAATTTCTACTTAAATATCTTCATACACATTTTATTTTAAGTAATATTTTTTATGCACTTCACAAATACATTTTAGAGAATTCAGTATAAATTAAATGAAGATCTAAATTTGATATTATCATTTTGAAGTTATGTCTGACGGAATTCGAATATGGGACCACCTAAAGCAGAATGTGTTAACAAATATTTAATGTTAAATAATGTAAATAAATGAACAAGGAACAAAAAAAAATATATTATGTTTCTTATCGATATTTTATGTTCAAAAGCAGCTAGTTAAAAGTTAACTAAACCCTTAACCCTTAACTACTTCGCTGTCATTGCCATAGAGAGCTTTCCTCAACGAAAATGTGCAAATAATAGTGACCTTTAGCTCCATCCTAACTTGCAGTTAGATACATTTCCTGCAGGCATGTGGGTTCTTTAGTGTGTGTAAGCGAAAGGATCAGTCAACGCACAAAGTAATTAATGACTGTGGCTGCGGCTGGGCGAGCGAATTTCGGAAAATTCGGCAAATTTTTACTTGTTGCAAAATTTTCATTGAATTTATTGTTTTTACAAAATACCGTTAGAGTGCACTGAGCAAGTGAAAAGTGTAAGCAAGATGACTTGGCGTTTTTTTTTTGCAGTCAGAAAGCGAAGTCAAAAACCAAGAAACGTGCTTCAAAGGAGGCGCTTTTCTATTTTTTTCTGACTACTACCGTTGGTACTGCCTTCTGCCAATTTTTTTTTAAATCATTTTGGCTAGTTTGTGCATAAATCGCTTATTAATAGTTTTTGCTACCGCACTGCTTGCCTCCGCTTACGGCGTCAATATGTATGTACACATTCAAGAATGCACTAGGAGCAGTTGCAAATCTGATAAATTATCACGTACATACATATGATGTATGTATGCTAAATGACTAATGTGTACACATGAATGCCTTTATAAATAAGTGTTTACGTATGACAGCTTTGGGTATTGCAAAAAATCACTGAAAACAATTAAGCTTTTTTGCTCGGCTATTTAAAATATTAACCACTTCCTCTTACATTTTTTTACTCCATACACTCATCTCTCTGGATATTTCCCCAATGTACTCGTACCTTATTATTTGTATGAACCTTTATATCATCTGCAGCATCTTACAATGTGCACTTAAGTATTTAATATACAATTTGCTTGCACATTTAACATATGTAGCTGTTACTAATTACCGCATGCCTGTGTCAGTGAGATTGTGAAGCACCTCACCTCAATCGCACTTCTTCTTTTTCTACGGAACGCTGTTACGGCACGATTCCAAATTGAATTCAGTGGCATTCGCACAAAGCAAGCGCAACAGCTATCACTATCCCTCCATATGGTTGCTTGATAATCACTCCTTTCCCCAGGTGCTTGACATCCTTGGTCGCCACTCACAACATATGAACTCCCGGCTCAATTGAAGTAACTTTTGTTGGGGCTGCGCGCGCGCTCAGATTGTAATTAAATGTCAATTTGGCTGCTGTGACTCTTCCATAGCGCATGTGACTTTATTGTTGTTGTTGCTTGTGATTATTGCAAAAAAGTGTTGGCAACCACTTGAGCAATTTCACACCGCGTTGCGCACAATATGATTTAATGAAGCACTTTAATGCATTCACGCTGAACGTTTCTGTGTATGTATATATTTCTTTCTTTTTTTTTGCGACTCAGCCGCTCATACATCATTTGTATGAATACATATGTACATACATATATGTATGTGTGCTTTTTTGCGCTTCTTAGCCCTTCGGTAAATTAAATATGACAATAATAAAAATTATGCATGTGAATTCTATATAAGCAAAATAAAAAAAGGTTAACAGTCGCAAATGTGTATTTGTCCTCTTATTCATAAAGTATGGATGTATAGTACAAGCAAACATTCGTAAAAGTAGGCACATATATTCATATGTACGTACTACACTACTTCTCCTAATTATACGACCGCGATATATTGCCAACTGTTGACAAGTGCAAATTTTTTTGAAAATTTATGGTTATTCAGTCTTATAGCCCTTTAATTTTAGTGCAAGTTTGAAGTTGCTAAATAATTCCGTTAATTTTTCATAATTTTTTAATTATTATTATAATTTTTTTTTGCTGACAGTGGTTGACCTGCCCACTGTATTCGAGTGGTACGCACCTCTACCACCACTCCATAGGACAAAGGTTCGATTACTGGTCAAAACATCATCCCAAAAAAATACACAAAAAAGTTTTTTCTAAATAGCGGTCGCCCCTCGGCAGACAATGGCAAACATCCGAGCGTATTTCTGTCTTGAAAAAGGTTTTCATAAAAATTCATTTGCCTGTTTGGAGGCAGCGTAAAACTGTACGTCCCTCCATTTGTGTTACAACGTCTAGACGCACACCACAAATTGAAGGAGAAGCGCTGCCAAACTCTTAGAAAAAGTTTAAACGCCAAAATATTATTATTATGTTGTGCATTTTCTTCACTTTTAAATACACTTACTTATAAATACTGCGTAAGGAGGAAAATGAATGACGACGTAAACAAAAAAAATAAAAATAGAAATAAAAAATTGCCAAAAATCAGCGGTCGCCACTTAAAACTTACACTTTATTGTACTATTGAATTGGCTATAAAACTGTAACCCAAACATTTAAAAAAAATTCGTAGATACATATAATAAAACTATAGCAGGCCGATGTCTGTATATAATAGATATTTAGGAAAAATTAATATGGGGGATTTTTATTAGAGCAACAGAAGCCAAATAACAATTTTTAGAATTTTTGACTGTTAAGGCCCGTCTACATACAACTTTGGCGTTGCGTTGGTGCCGGCATTGCTTTAACAGCAGCGCGAGTAACGCCCGTGCTTGCTACAATGAACGCTTAGCAGATAATACTTTTGCCACTAATTAACATACTAGCAGCAGATAAATCAAAATTTATATATCAATAATTGCATTAAAAACTATATTTCTGGCCGGCATTTAAAAACGATAATTAAATCACATAATTT